AGGATGACGAGTTGACGTCACACAGCGCGTGTCCGAGGTCGTCCTGCGCTGTGGTGCCGAGCTCGGAGCTCGGCTTCGCAGTACGGATAATACATAACACATTAATTTTAAGATTATATATAATTAAATTATAACATTAAAAAATATAGAAATAAAATAATTATATATTTTATAGTATATGTAAAATAAAAAAAAATAGAAATATAATTTAATATTATGAAAATATTACTTATTAAGTTATAATTTCATTACTAAAATATAATCTTAAAAATCCTTCCATATATATATATCCACTTACTTTAAGAGTGAGATTTGGTAAACTTACATCACTCAATAAATCATGTTCTAAATCAAATTTTCACAATATAACTGTTAAATTAAAAATTATTTATGTATAGATTAAGTATGCAAATTCTTTTTAAAATTTGGAAATCATATGATACTTTGTTATATAGATTCAAGTCAATGTATAATGTACTTTTATGATTATCCATAAATTCGAATTAATAAAGTGAAGTATTCAATAGTTTTCAATTTTTTTAAAAATTTATAAACTTGATTTATGCATTAAATTTTTTTTATTTAATGGTTGAATCGATAAAATTTAAGGAATAATATGAATTATTAAGTGTAATAAATTTACCTAAACCTACTTCACTTAATAACTCATGTTCTACATCAAATTTTAATAATCAAACTATTAAATTAAATTTTTTTAATTTATGGATCAAGTCTACAAATTTTTTAAAAAAATTAAAAATTATTTGATACTTCATTTCATTAATTTAAATTGACAAATAATCATAAAAATATTTTATACGTCAATTTGAATTTATATAACAAAGTATCAAATAACTTTCAAATTTTTTAAAATTTGCATATTTGATCTATGTATCAAGAATTTTTAATTCAATAGTTCAATCGTTGAAATTTGATATAAAATATGAGTTATTGAGTAAAGTAAATCTAAGTAGACTTATTCTTAAGATAAGTGTGACACCCTCTACCTCACATGACATAAGATATAAATAATAAATTAAATTAAATAATATGATCTTCATAAATAAACTCAACGTGTTCAAGTAGAAAGTATCACATTTTTAACTTAACAAAATGACATAATCAATGAAATCGTAAGGAATAAAGTTGGTGTTTTCCAAAATAATTCAATAGAATAATATCCTAATTTAATCATAGTTATGCCCTGATGTCACATATCTTATCAAAGCAAAACTTAACACTGAAGTTTAAGTCTCATCACCAATATCTTTAACCTCATGTTAATGATTATATGCATAATAATCAAGGAAAACATAAAACAAAAGGAGTGAGAAACATCTCACTCTAATCCATAGTGTAGGAATGCAAACTAGATAACCAAATACAAACAAAAAATACAAGATATAACATACACAAGTAAACATTATAACCATAGTCATTTGGTCATAGCATAATAAACAATAATAGTTACATTATAATGCATTATGCACTTGACACAGGCTATGTGATATCATGCATGTAGCACCAATAAAATATCACATATCACATTTGTGCATTATCGCTAGCAATACACATATAATAGTAAAGGAATACATGTCGAGTCACACCCTCTACACACTCTCACTAGAAGGATACACTACTAGCATCTGATTGGAATAGCTAAGCCAAGCAATATACACCTCATGCTCACGAGGGCAAAATTGAAACTTCCAAACTGAGCTATCTCCAAGGTTGGTTCCCAAACTTTTTCACAAGGGACTTTCCCTAGCGATATATTCCATATCGTACCCCATAAAAAAATCTTTTATGCACATGATGCATATCAAATAGATTCAATGCTATAACATACACATTATCTCACTTCACGCATCACATAATTCTCATATCATCTCATATATCTTATGTACATTCTCAAATACATCAACTAATCACTAGAGAAAAAAAAGTAGTATCAAAATCACAAAGATAAAACAACCACTTAACAATCACTGAATGAGCTAAGCTCCCTAGAGCCTTTTGTTGAGAAAATAACATCTAGTTGGGCCACCAACATCTAACTGAGCCACCAACGTGTAGTTGAGCGAAAAATATCTAGTTGAGCGAAAAATATCTAGTTGAGCAAGCTGAGGCTTCTTGTTGAGTGACCAATCTCCCTAAAGCTTCTCATTGAGCGACTTTGCATGTCTAGTTGAGCGAGAGTGTGACCTTCCTTTGTGAAAATCAAGTCTCCCTAGCGACTGCAAGTTACCCACATCCATTTTCATGCATATATATTCGATAAAATTACTATATAACATGCAACTAATATTTCAAATCACTTAATTTTCACATATCAATCAATAGTTTCACAAATTATCACAATAAGTTTCCTTAAGGTTTCCCAAAAAAATGCATATGAGCTTTAAATCATACAATTACAACCCAAAACATATAATTGATCATACATTCTAACAATTAATGCCATTAATTACGAGTAACCAAAATAGAAAGTATAATAGAAACATTAGAGGAAACCCTTCATACATAGGCATACATCATATACAAGATTAGAGTCAATCTTACTACCCAACATACAATCCCACACCCAGAATGAGGTTTCTCATTCTTTCCTTACCTTGATAAGTAGAAGAAGATGGATGCCCAACTCTGAGATGATTTTCTTCTTACTTCTATTTTTTGAGCTCTAAAACACATAGGTAAAATGAAACACAAAAAAGAATTTAATTAAAAAATGCTCTTTTAAAACCTTAACCTCCCGTTAACATTTTTTCATTTAAAACACTTAATCACATATATAAATCATTTCCCTCTTAATCAAATATTATAATAAACATTTTAATAAAACACCTTATATTATATTTTAAAATATATCAAATAATTAACTTAATATTAAATAACTCTTATTAATAAAAATGAAAATATAAAATTATCAATAAAATATTTATATTATATTTTATAAAAAAAATGGAGTGTTATAATAAGTAAATATTTTCCCCCTCTCTATATATATACTAAATTAGATTAAAACAATTTAAAATATAATTCAAACTCATAACACTAGTTGGAATTTATTTGTGATAGGTATGTATGATTGAAATCAAAATCATTTGATTTTATTATACTACTCACAACATATTTAAGAAAGCATTTGCATCATTACAAATGTGAAAATTTTCACTTTCTAAGAAAAAAAAAAGTTTATAACTTTTAAATGAACGTAAACTTAAAAAACATCTAACATCTATCCAAACATGCATTAACTGTTTCTTCCCTAGGTTTCGGAAGCACGTGAAAGCATTATCATGTAATTATGAATCAATTTTTAAATTCTATACATTCTCTTTTCTTTTTATTTGTTCTTTTTCATCTTTTGTCATGAACTCCCCGCCCCCACCTTCCGCTATGATTACATGACATAATAATTGTGATTGGGATTTGGGACCGTCAGCAACCAAAATTTAAAAGAAAATTGTCGAAGTTACTAACTGAATATTCATATAGAGTAGTAAAATTATATTTAACATCCATTAAAATTTCTTGATATTGCATATAATTTTTTTTATATCTATATGAATATGAATTATAATAAAATTATATCACATATAATTTAATAAAATATGAATTATAATAATGATAATAAAATTTAAATTTAAAATCTTATATATTCTATCGAATTCATCATTATTAATCCCATTTGAGTGATTTTAGATGTAATTTCTTTTTTAACATTTATAATATTTTTTATAAAGAAACATACTGTAATATTTTTTTAAATAATTAAAAAGTTAATATAATGTTTAAAAGATATCAATGTCATATTTTCAAGCAATTAAAATAAATTAAAGATAGAAAAATAAATTTCTTTATAATTAAAGAACTAGATTAGCAATATTTTAATTGTTGAAAGATTTATGTAACTGTCTAAACAAAACGAAACGCACGCTATTTTACACCATCAATAAGCTAATTAAATCAATGTAGAAAAACTTTAAACAACAAAAATAATACTAATAGTAAGACATTCATAATTTCCACAAATTTCTAATTATTAATTACATGAAAAAATGCTCATATAAAAATGTATAAAATATGAAAAATAAAATTTTACTGGGAAGTTTATTTCTAATTAAATATCGTATATTAATATTTAAATAATATGAGTAATGATTTCAATAAAATAAAAAATTATATAATAATTTTACATATAGGGAGAGAGAAAAGGATCAATTAAATTATTCTAATAGTAATTTTAGAAAATAGTCATTCTTTATTCACACTCTTTATTTCTTTTAATCTAACCATTTTATTTATTTATTTCTTTTTGAAAGAAAATAAAAGATGTGAAAGAAAAAATAACTCCTTTAAATTTATTATTAGAGTAGCTTGATACTTCGATCAATATTTAAGAACATTGAACTCTTTATTTTCTTAATAACCACTCTTTGAGTCAATTTCTATCTCATTTGTCTTTTTAAGTAAATAATCACTTTATTTTCTAAAATTTAAAGATGTCACAATTGCAACTAAGAAAACATTAAACAAGTTCATAAGAAACTCTTAAATTTAATTATTTATTATCACTTTAATTTATAAAAATATTTTAATATTATTGTTTAAGCTGCACTATTTTTAAAATTTTGGATTTATTTGATTATCGTTTATACTTTTAGATTCTTACTTTTTTAGTTTAAAAATCTAATATAATAATAATTTATAATTTAAAGGACTAAAGTGATTTTTTTCGTTGAATTTATTTGTATGATTATGTATCAAATATCAAGCAAAAATTATATCAAGAGATCTAACTCAATTAGTTGAAGGCTGTTATGAATTATTGCAATCTCTTAGTATCGAATTTGATTCTTATTGATAAAAAATAAATAAAAAAATATTTTTGTATATTAATAAATATGTGCTCTAATAGTATATTTATCGTAGAATAATACTTGGAGGAGGAGCTTTATCACCTATAGTAATTTTCAAATAAAAAATACTCATGCTATAAAAAAAATACATAACACGTTATATTTTTTAAACCAAGAGTAAGTTTAATTAAATTTACTCTGGTTTAAAAACTGAAGTGCAGTGCAGATAATTTCTATGGTTCAGTTCAGAAATCTTATCAAGATTGTGGCTTTCCTTATTTAGTTAAATGCAAATAGTTTGGACTGGCTAATTGCCATGCTAAGTCAACCTGACATATAAGGCTTCAAGCTTACTCTGCACTTCTTTGAGCATCAATTAGAAAGCGTCTAATGCAGAGAGAAGTGGGCAATAAATTGACGAAGTTGAGAGTCTACAAGAAACTGCTCTGAATTAATGAAGGAAATGATGAGAATCCTGCATGCATGAGAATTATAAAATTAATCTATTTTAGAAAATCACAATGTGACTCAAAGGCGCTATCTGTAGACTAATCAAAGAGTATGTATATAAATGAGGAAGAAAAATATAGAAAGGCAGAAAACAGAAAAGTCATCGAATCAATGGACTCGTTTATTTCTCATTTTACTATCTGATTTTGATTCCTCTTTTGGATTCTCAATCACTTCTTCCTCGTCAAACACTTGCATACAATGTTAGGTCAGCAAACGTTGCGGCTCCGCATTAAATTTTTTGTAGGAAAAAAGATTCATGGACACTCAGAAGATAAGTGATTCAAATTTTTATAAATGTTCATATTAATAAAAATAAATAAATAAAAATTTCAATGATTAATTCAGTGATGAATATATGTTGAAGTATTAAATTGAGTGCCTTTTTCTTTATTAAAAAAATTATTATTTTGTTTATCTTTGCAAGATGAATTTCTTTTAAAAAAAACTACAGATGAAAAAAAAAACTTTTTAACATTTTTCTCTTCATCTCAAATATTAAAAATCCTCTTAATTTCTACTTTAGACAAATAAAAATCAGTTGAGGTGTAGTGTACACGAATTGTATAAATAAGCACAGATACCTTCTTTCTTCATTGGCCTCCCCCACCACTGCACCAGCCAACTAAGTCCATAAGTGTTGCGTATAACAAATCAAGAGACAAGTGACCAAGGAATTTCCTATATTCAGATGCACCATCAGTGATGTTCATTTGAAGCTTTTGCTCCTCCGCAAAACTGTCCTCCATAACCAACCACCAAGATATACAACCTTCACTATCTTCTGGATCAACACTTGCAACCAGACCAAGTGTTTCACCCTGCTCCAGCTCAAAAGATAAGCATAAAAAGTCCCGATTTGCTTTTATCCCAACCATCAGAGCTTCCTCATAGAGCCAGTTAATAATTTGGCTCGCAACCTGCATAATTTCAATAGCAGTAATAAGCATGATTTATTATTTACACGAATACAAGTCATTGCAATGACATCAATTTTTTTTTTTCCTATCTTTACCTGCTGCAAAATAATCACAGGAAGATCAGCCAAATTGCAGTCATATTTGTTTATTGAGTGGCTTTCCTCAGACTTTCCCTTGAACAGGCCGGCAACATTTGGAGAACCTTCTGCTTTAACATTGATGCAATCATCGTTTACCACCACCTTAGTCCAAAACTGACGCTTGACAGCATTTTTCTCATAATAGTCTGATGTTTTGGTTTGGGAACCACGAAGAATAGATTGAGGAACCTCCATGTAGAGTGTCCAGGATGAAGCTCGAGAATTCCACGTCGGATTAGAAATTAGCTGTAGATATGGGACCTTGCATACCTGCAGATATCAAAGAATTAACTAAATCTCCATGTTACGACCAGCTAAAGTCAAATTTGAAAAGAGTAATACCACGTTTTCTAGCTCTGCAAGAACTTTAGTTGAAAAGATCCTGTGAGCCAAAGACATAAAAAAATGACCAAGAAGACTGGAGCCATCCTTTGCCTGTATGCCAGATAAACGATTTCCAGAGGAAATTGGTTTTTCGCTACCTCTTCCAAATATATGTTCATGAAAAATCTGTTGAATGTAAATCTCATAGCAGATAGAATTAGAAAACTGCCCTTTCTTCTTAGGGGTGTTCTGTTTGGCTTCAAGCTTCATTCCATCAGATGATTCCAGAAGTAAATTGGCATTTTCTACATTATTGGTGAGTTCACCTTTAACTGTAGGATGATCTTGATCATTGGACACGAGTGATAAGTACACAGAGGTTCCTTGATCTAAGCTCAATTGTAAATAATTTTCCCGTATTCCAGTCACACTGACACCTGTAAATGTGTTAAATGCTTCACGATTCACCAGATCAAACACCTGGAAGCATAAGAGTACCAAAGCAACAAAACACCATCAGAAATGTTCAAAATATTAATATTGCACAAACTAGTCACAGCAAACCAACAACAATAATGAAAGAACAAATCTACCTGTTCGCTGAAAATTGCTTTATGTACTTCACGCAGAAGTGAGTGTGTTTTCGTAACACACTCTTCATCACTTGAGGACTCTTCGCCAGTTTTTCCCAAATTATGCTCACCTGAAAACTGAGATTTGTTTTCATTGGATTTCCTCTGTATATCATCTGATTGTGCACCAACAAAACCAAATTGGAGAGAATGGCATAAGTCAGGAGACACATTTATTGCCAGCATTCCAGCTGCATCATGATTGACTCTAACAGTAGACATAGACAATGAGCGAATAATAGCTGGTTGGTCATAAGAGTTATCAAAGAGATCAAAGGTGAAGCCTTCGTTCCCTGGAATAATAGCTGCTTGGCGTTGCCGTTTAACCTTCCAATTTTGCTGCAACCTGTCCACTTATAAGGTTATATGATAGGTAGTGATGTAAGCTAGTAAACCAGCATTCTCCTAAAGTGAATTTCTTTAAATTATTTATGAAATGAACGCAGGTGTGTGTTTACTTGAGAGCCAACTTTGAAGGCAACAAAACATGGTGATTTGCAATCTAAACATGGTCTCAAATTCTTGCCAGCAGCAGCCGAAATATATGAATATTAAAGTAAGATGTTAAGAATGGAAATTCACCTGATAAGGGCACCATAAAACCTAGCTTCCCGAGCAACCTGTTGTTCAAAAGCCCTGGCAGATTGCTTGAAATATTTCCCAACGTTCTGCACAGATTAGAAACGTTTGTTCAAAGATTTCATTACATATCCCAGTGAAGGCTAAACCAATTGTTCTTGTCATTGATAAGTTGTTAGAGATTCAAGTTGCTACAAGTTTTGAGTTGCATTCTTTTTATTTAAACAAATAAACTTACTACATTGTAAAAAAGGGAGCTGATCTTGACTTGCTATTATGAACATAAATAATACTTCAAATAAACATCAGTGCAATTTTTTTTACAGAAAAAGAATATAGAAGAATACTTACACGGTAACATTGCAGCTTGGTGGCTGCAGATACGGCCAGGTCAGACAAAGCTTCATTTGGTAATAGTTTTGGTCTTGTCATGCTAGCCACCGTTACTGCATCATTTGCTTCCACCTAAGTACAAAAATGTGAACAAAATATCATATATGTATTGTCAGCCTGCACATAACTAAAACAGTTACACTAGCAACTGCACCAAAAAATTAAAAACATCGATGCCATCCAGAATGCAAAGAACTTGGTTATACAGGAAAGATTCCATTACAATCAAATATGGCATGATGCCTCATGATGAACTGATGATAGATGATAGATGGTTGCTGGTTCTCTGGCATTGTAAGCTGACATTCATGGAAGTTTCTCAACACTTTACTCCATTCCTTGTTGAATGAAACTAACACGATTTCCTTTAAGCCACATACAAGCATTTTCTTGATTTCTTCTAAAAAAATGTTCCAAAGGAAGCCTTTACATGAGATTTTTCTCCAGAGTCAAAAACCAAATAGCCTCAAGCAATACTCTTGTGTTGTTGCAAACATATATTCAGATAGGAAATTAAACTTCTCACAATGGTTCCTAAAATATAGACAAAATCAAAAAACATTGATTCAATGCCAAAGGTAACATGCACTACTCACAGTGTTGATGAGATCCATGATGACAGAAAGCTCCTGATGAGCCAACTGCAAATTTTCTACCATGCTCTGCCATTGCCATGGCGTTGAGCTCTCCTTTGAGGTCTTTTGCTTTTTCTTCTTCTCCTCATCCTTCTCAACAGCCCAAGCAAAATCAATTCGCCTGATTAGGGAGAGCCGCTTCTCATCATAATCCACATCTCTGCAATAACACAAAACCACATACAAATGCACAAATGAAGTGAGAAGTCATGGGAAACAAGTGCAAACAGAAATCGGGGTTTAATGTTCTTGTTCCTATCAATACTTTTGCAATGACACCGCATTAGGAAATGATTACCAAAAAAAAAGGTTGAGAAACAAGAGAAGAAAGAAACATACGGTGGGAATCGTTCAAATCCATTTTCTTCAATGGAATCCAGACGCTTGATTGGTAGCTTGTCGAGGGAAATTTGCAATTGCATGCCCTCGTCCATTTCCTCAGAAAATATTTTTCCCAGAAAATTCCACAAGATCCTATCACTGTCTGCACTGTGGGGTGAAAGTGTGGAAAAAAGGGTCAAAAATTCCTTAAGGTCCAAGCCTAACTAAACATGAATAATAAATTTCTCTTCAGTTTACACTTTACATAGAAGACTTTAGCCAAGAAGACAATTGACTCCTTGTTGGTGTAATAGAGTTAGTTTAATCAAACAAAGTAAACCACAAGATGAGCACAATAGTGCGTGTTTATAAAACAGTGGTTAGTCTAAGCATTTAAATTCCAACACAACTAGAGCTGCTTGGATAAGGTGATATTCTGCTACTATAATGTGACAAAGAGCTATCACCTCTCTCCAGTCCTTTGGCATTCTGAATTTTCAATATTTTAAAAATATACTAATGTCTCCACCACCTAGCATCAACATGAAAAATTAAGAAAAACTGAATTGCACATCAATAGAAGTTTTGGTTAAACTGATGTCACACATCACATCAGTGCTAAAAGTAGATCAGTACCAAGACAATCCAAGCGTAAAGTGACAGAGCCTAAAAGACATTTAGCATGCCATGCATAACCATTTTACAAAAACAAATTTCATTTCCAATACGTGATGTAAATCTTATAAGAAGAAATAGTTCCTGTTAATGGAAGCTATTGAAGAAATCTTATAGGAAAAATATATTAAGTTGAGCACACAAGACCTTCAAAACATATGCGCTAAATGTTAATGGAAGCTATTGAAGTATTGATTGAAAACTACTAAATGATTTCATGGCTATCCTTCCGATTATTGTAATATTTTATGTTGTTATACCTGTAGAAGATGGCATTTTCCAAAAAGGTTAATTGTAGGAGCAATAATTAATATTTAACTTATTCAATTGAGACAAGATGATACCATCAAAACCTTAAATACTTATAAAAACATCTTCAATATAGTCATATATAGCTTTTCCCCTTCCTCTTTATTTCTCTTTTATCCATTATGCAATCTGTAAAATAAGCAATTTGGCATGTTGCTGGAATATTGTAATACATCAGCACCACAATTTGATTATTCCAATTTTTCCATTGACTGTATACTGAACAACCTTTCATGGAAAATGAGTAACTAAATTCAATGCATTTATCCAGTTGTTAGGACTCCATCCATGCCCTCAAGAGAAGAATAAACCAGGTGTGCAGATGAATGTGTTGGAGGAAAAATACCAAATGGTGATATTATCAGTATAGAACATACCATCAAGCTATTCTTGGCTATCTAATGTGCATGGATAGCTTAGCCACAAAATCAAACCAAAACCATTTATATTTATAGATAATTTCAAAACCAATCCGCCACTTTTTTTAAACTGGTTTGGTTTTGACCAAACCAAGAGATTTAAAACCGGTTTTTGTTCAAAATCAGTTTTGACGAAATTGGTTTTAAAATCAGTCTAAGTTAAATCCAGATAAAAATGCAGGTTTTGAGCCAACTCTAGTTAACAACAAAGTTTTATCTAGCCAGAAACCCAGTTTTTCAGCCAAAGCCTTCTATAAATCCAGTGTAAAAACCCTTTTTTCTTTTACAAAATCAGTTGAGAGAAATAGACAATAAAGAGATGTCAACTTTACAACAAAAGCAAGCAGCTAATGCAACGTCATCATAAATAAAACCCAATCATGAGGAATTTAGAAGCCCAAGTCGGATTTCATGCCAAATGGGATCAATAACATTATCAAAAAGCAGAATCATCATAATTATGTTGCATCAAGTCAACTACACAACCAAAAAAGTACTGTAACTTATTCACTGTAATCCACACAAGAAAATACCAGTCATTAAATTGATCCAATAATATGTAGAAAATTTAGTTGAACCATTTAGTCCACAATTTTGTCATTTTCAGCAATCCCCAAATATTTGGAAGTAACTTCAATTGTTTCATAGCTATCATTTTGAAAGATAATTGTCTAGTTTAGCTTTTAATCTTTATCATTCTAACTGGACCCCCCACTGACTCTATGGAGTCTCCATTTAAAAGTTGAAGCATGTTACACTAAAATATTGAATGATGACTGAGACATTTGAAGCCTTAAATAATCTTCTAGCCTAATTATAGAAATTTCAGCAGTAAGCTAACTAAGAGCAAGACATGAAGCAAATCACGCTTCTCTGTCGTTGGTCTCTTTTTTGTCCTCTAACCAAAAATGAACATTAGAGAGATAAAATAATAATAATAATAATAATAATAATAACAACAACATTAAAAAGAGAAGGTATTATTTTAACATTATTGCCCTCGTATGTAAAAAAAAAAATATTAACTCTCAAAATAAAAGATAAAAAGAGGTGTAAACATGACTGCATAGAATCACCAAATAAACTAGGCTGTCTTTTCAGAAACAGAGCTACACTTCTCAAGTGCAAACATTTGTTCACCGCTTAATGACTTTCAAGAATCCAAAAAGTAAAACCTCAAAAACACACTAATGGTAAAGATGGGTTCTTTTGTTCAATCAACGGGAAGCAAGCATGAACATGAACATCCTAGCTAGAGAATAATTGAATAAAAGGGGACATAAGCCTGACTCAAAAGAATTTTTTATATTGTTCCATCACTGTCAATTTTTTATTTTTTTAAGATAGAATTAATATTTAAAATTCATCATAGTTGTACTCAAATCTAGTAATTATATGTCTCCTTTAGTGTCTTTCTCTCTCTTGAAGTTTCTCCTGGAAATTTTCTCTATTTTTGAGAACTCTCGTCCTATACTCTTAGAGGCAGAATGTTACAAACCTCTACAGCTTCTACTAGAGTTACATGGTGACAAATATGCATAGAAACTGAACTCCAATTAACTTAATAACATGTTTGGATACAAGCCTATAAGGACTTTTAATTTCAAGAGCTTTTGTAGTAAAAATTACTCTTTGTTTTCAGTAGATAAGCTTTCAGAAGTCCTTATAGATTGCATCCAAATAGGCTCTAAGTCATGTTATACAGTTTATAAACTTCAATATATCCAGGGTTCAGACATCACTACATCCTAACACACATGATTCATATAATGAATGGGAAATTCAAACTTAATTAGATCCTGTCTACAAATACAAGACTAAATCTTTGAGAGAAACAAGAAAAAACTCCTTGACACCTATAACTCTCATGACCACAATGCATAATAATTCAAGCACAGAACCAACATCCCATAAGCAACACTGGATCCCATCCTAATGAGTTCAGTTCAATCTAACAAACAACACATCACATACAACATTCAAGAGACGAAAGAACACCTATAACATTCAAGAGACCAAAGAACACCTATAACATTCAAGAGATAAAAATTTAAATGTTTTTAATGCGCACCTCTTCTCTCAATATTTGATCCAAGTGCACCTACAACATTCAAGAGACAAATAGCAAGACAATTAATCACCTATTAGTTCATAAAAATATTTAATTTAAAGAACAGAATTCAATATACTAATTTAATATCTATACATAAAAATATTTATAAAAAGCAGAAAAAAATACTGTACATTCAGTTGAGATCATAGTTTTAAATTATGGCTGTGGTTTCGTTGCGAATCGCAATCCTTGCAGGAAATGTGGCAAATGTGGCCGCAATTGCGGTCATGGTAAGTCAAACAAACCTTTACATTGCGGCCGCAATTGCTGTTGAGGACCGTAATTTAAAACAATTTTGAGATTAATCCGAATTGCATTAGTAAATAACATTACCACCCTCTAATCCAACTAAAAATTATCAATTGGAACAAAATTCGTTGAGTTAAAGGTTATCATTATCTAGACTATACAAGATATCCTCTAACACCTTGTTTAGCTATTAACTCAGCAAGAAGAATGTCAACAACGGAACACTCCATAAAACTAGAAATCCATTTGCGAATCACATCATGTATGACCCCTCCATAACCAACTCTATTGTTTATTAAATCTAACCTACCATCCTTACTTAGCTTAAAAAAACATTACTAGGTTTCTGCAAATTTATGAGGCCTAATTCTTTAGCCCCAAACAGAGAAGGAGAAATCGGGAGCGTAAGTTCATAAAGAGAATGAATGAAGCAATTATATAATAGGAAGAAGAAACTCAATTTTGATGATTATGAGGCACTAAACAAACCCATGTACCTACTTTTCCAGAACCGGGCAGCTGAGCAGGGCGGGAGGTGGTGGCACTGTCTGTGTTGTTGGGGAGTGCAGTGGAACAGCCCTGTTCGCGCGGTGGTTATGGGCGGCGGTTCGGGGACGGGACGCGTCGGCGGCGCGAGAACGGAGGTTGCCGGTGCTAGTGGGTGGCGTCGGTGAAAATAGATTTGGGAGGAGAGAAAGAGAAGTTTGCGCACTATATGAGTTCAGAAACACAAGAGAAGAAGATTAAGTGTTTTTTTTTTAATAGAATACAAAATTGCCCCTTTTTTAATTCTAATATATAATTACATAAATAATTATATATATATATATATATAT